AGCAAGTTAGGCCAATGTTTTGAAAGTGTTAAATAACGTTCAGTAAGCTGCAAATTTGCCAAGATATAAAAAATGTATCTATATAACATGTATTTGTTTAACAGTCTTCCTCTGTACCATTCCTCTGCTTTTCAATAAAGTGATTGGGAGCATTTACATGGTAAATCATGAGACTTTTATTGCCTTGTTATAAGCAGGAGGAAATTGCAGAGTTTATTTCTTGGACTGAATATTTAATATCTTTGAATAGGAATAGTTGTGTTCACAAAAAAATTACTTTTAAATGCCAGTATATTGAGATACCCAAACCCAGAAGCTTTTAACTCCAAATAAAGAATTTGAATGAAATAGTTCTATTAGATGGAGTTAGATGATCCCAGGTTTCCAAAGTTTCCTGCTCAGGAGAGATCTGAAAGGATGGTTAAAAATACCCCAACCCTGTCTTCTAAGCAATCATCACAGGTTATTCTGATTCAGTTCTTAGGTATCAGTAGCTTTGGCTCCGTGAGGGGGTCAGGATTTGGTCCCAGGACTTCAGCCCCTTTCTGCAGTTGAGGCAGGATGCGCCCCCCCTCCCGTGTAGGGACCTCCCTGCAGCCCTGGGTGGGTGCCAGGGGAGCGCGCACCCAGGACACACTGTGCGCGCTTGCCTTCTCCTGCCTGGCAGCAGTTCAGATCCAAATGGAGTCGTTGAGCTGCCCACAGCAAAACCCCCTGCGGGCCACATGCCACCTGGCCCCGTGCCATCTGCCTTTCCCCTGCCAGTGCCCCGCCTTGGCTTCTGCATTTGTTGCTGTTAAAGAACAAGTGGCTGGAAGACAAATCACCGCGAACTCACCGGTTGTGGCTGCCGCCTGCAGCTACACACCCGTTCTCAGCTGCCCTCCGGTACTGACTGGCTCCTCTGGTCCGGATACTGACTGTTTTAGAAGGGGAACATCGAGCAGGATATTGTGGTGCGGATGTGGGGAACCGAAATCGAAAGGACACCTTTTTCTTTTCTTAGTTTTGTTTTGTTTTAAAATTTACATTGTTTATTGTTTCAAGTATTCCACATGCCCCCTTTTCCCCCCATTGACCTCTCCCCAGAAAGGACACATCTCTTTCTGGTAATTCCACTGTTAGGTTTTCATGCCATCCCCCCACTCCCACCCCCAAAGCAAGAAACTGGTCCTGGTGGGAGGAAAGTGTGGGTTGTTCTACAGGGGCTTGGGATTCCCAGGCTGATCCCTCCTCCTCACTCCCTTGTGCTCCTTCCCCTGGCCCCACAGTGAACACAGAGCCCCAGGTCCAATGTGAACCAGTAACAGCAGGCTGGCTGAGGTCTACAGCCTGCCTCTCAGGGACACTTTTTTCTTTTCCTTTTTTTCTTTTTCTTTTTT